CGAATTTTCCTCACTTCACCCAGGTGGGAATGGGTACCCGGCTATAGACAGCGAAAGATCTTGTCAGTTTGTTAGTGTTTGAGCGCTTAATCAGCTGCTTGCACTGTTTGCTTCCCGGGAAGCTGAGAATGTTTCTGAATGTTCTATGGTCTGCTGGGGTAATAATATAGTGTAAAGCGCATAGAGCTTGCTTTCGAGAGGGGACATGCGCGATACAAATGCTATTTATTATTATTATTATAAAAGGGGGGAAGGTAAGGAAGAGAGAGGAAGTGCTCAAGTTTTAGACCATTTATGACACAATATGGTAATAGGAGTGTTACAAGAGGGGAATAGAAAGTGGTTACGTTTAAACAAGAGTTTTAGAGCACATGTGATACAACAAGGTCATATAAATTTGGTCGCTTTTAAGGACAAGTGAGTTAACCCAGATTTCGGGGATGTCCAGAAATCTTGACCTGCGCCAAAAGTGGACATTGCCCTACCTATAGGAGAAGTTTGGTTTCATTGGTGTGTATACTTGTTTGGTTATAAAGAAAACTCTTCTTGTATTTTAAAGGAACTGAACAAGGGACAAAAACTTTACCTTCGATTTTCTCAAAACAGCATTTTTCGAGACAGCTCCCTTATGCTTATAAGCGACCATTTTATCTCCCAGCAACTCCAAATAGCCCAGAAGTAAGAGGCAACAAAACAACATCCCCACCCCCCCCCCCCCCCCAACACATTTATAAAACAAACACAACAAAACATTAACCACAAAAACAAAACCAAAAAAAAACAACAGTAAACAAAAGGAAACAAAAAACAACAACAAATAAACAAACAAACAAACAACAAGAACAAACCAGTGCCAAGTATTGGTCTATAAATAGATCTAATCTACCAACTCACGGAATCGCTGCACGAACTTCTCAATGAGCAGTGAGTAGACAGAGCAGGCCAGGGAGTAGAGAGCCATGCCGAAGGACCCAAGTCTGACTCCGTCATCATAGCGGTTGTGAGCGTCACTTCCCACGGGGGACTGGGGGTCTCCGCCGTACACAGACTGACCTGGGGGGCCGGGGGGTGAGGGGTGGGTGGAGGGAGGGAAAGCATTGGTGTGATCAGATGAGGGTCATTTTGTGTGTGTGTGGTTGGGGGGGGGGGGGTTGTTTTAGTAAGAGCACTCGCAACTGCGTATTGTCGTATGAGCGCGCGAAACACTAGTTGGTTGCATTCACAACAGTTCACAGCACGGCATGGCTTAGGTCAATGATCAGGTGAAAATGTTAAAAATTTGAGGTGAAATATCTGCTTAAAAATGATAACTCGATTAAAACCAAAATGACTGCTTTTACAATTTACCTTAAATACCAATGGAATCAGGGGAGGGTCACTGTGTGTGTGTGGGGGGGGGGGAAACATTGGGGTAAACAGGGCAGACCTTTCATAAGAAATAAGAAAAAGAGTACTGAAAAGTTACATCATCGAGCCAATCCTATAACACGGGTGCGAAGCATGGACAATCAATAAACAGCTGGAAAGAACAATTGAGGCGTCAGAGTTGTGGTTCATAAGACGCATGCTGCGTATCCCATGGACAGCTAGAAAAACAAATGAAGAAGTCTTGGTTGAAGCAAATTGTAGAAGACAGCTTATGACGAATATAACAAAGCGACAGGCAAGGTTCATTGGACAGCCAATACAGAAAAAAGCATTGGAGAATATTGTAACAACAGGCAAGTTTGATGGAAAGAGAGGCAGAGGCAGACAGAGGGAAAAGATACTGGACAAGATGACAACATGGCTAGGAGCAGCAAGAACAACAGACACCATCGCTGCAACGCAAGACAGGGTGAAGTGGAGGTCCATGATCGCCCACGCCAGTCGGCAAGGCACCGGATGATGATGAATCAAGGGATGGTGGCTGTGTGTGGGTGTGAGGTGGGGGTCGGAGGTGGGGTTGTTGTTGGTTGGTTTTTTTTTTTGGG